TGTTTTTGAAGCTCCATTTCCCCATAGTACTAAACAGATGTGTCTCAGTGAGGAATGGCAGCATTAGTGGGACATGGACACAGTGCACTCAGCGTGGCCCTCCTGAGCCCCCTGAGCAGGAATATTTCACACGAGCTGCTCTCCGTACAAGATCCCCTGACACCCCAATGCATCATGGGAGGGCTGGGGGGCGGCGTTCACTGGACCACCATGTGTCACCAAACCTGCTAACAGCTGCGGGGTTCCATTAAGAAGCACACAGCTCAATGTTACAACTGCACCATCGGGCTGGGGTGATATTTGTACAAACCTTTCTCTCGGTAAGATTCAGAAAACTAAACATCCATGAGCACAGACTGGTCAAGAAGATATGGTCCAAACAGACAAATGAAAATCCTCAGTACTGACATCTTGATTATGAATGTAAAGCAACAGTGTATATTTTACTCTCCTGCTGTTCTTGCATCTTATTTTGCAATAGACCAGTGGTTTTCAATAGGTGAGGCCCGCCACAACTTGAGGTGCCAAAGAACCACTGGGGAGGTGCGACACATGCGGACTAAACCAGGACTGATCCCAGGACTGATCCCAGGACTGAACCAGGACTGATCCCAGGACTGATCCCAGGACTGAACCAGGAGGACTAAACCAGGTATAAGTGTTGGGAGGGGCCCGGAGATGCCAGAGGTGAAAGGACCGGCACAGAGCTCTACGCCCCACGGAGCTAAGGGCAGCCATCGCCCAGTCGCGCTTTGCAGACACCCTGCTCCGTGGGCTCAGGGTTCTCTCTCTCTCTCTCTCTCTCTCTCTGTATCAAGTCCAAGATTAGTCCTGGCTTAGTCCTGAATAAGTCCTGGTTTAGACCTGGTTTAGTCCTGGTTTAGTCCTAATTTAGACCTGGTTTAGACCTGGTTTAGTCCTAATTTAGACCTGGTTTAGACCTGGTTTAGTCCTTATTTTGTCCTAGATTAGACCTGGTTTAGTCCTGGTTTAGACCTGGTTTAGAACTGGTTTAGTCCTGGTTTAGACCTGGTTTAGACCTGGTTTAGTCCTGGTTTAGACCTGGTTTAGACCTGGTTAAGTGATGGTTTAGACCTGGTTTAGACCTGGTTAAATCATGGTTTAGACCTGGTTTAGTCCTAATTTAGACCTGGTTTAGACCTGGTTTAGTCCTTATTTTGTCCTAGATTAGACCTGGTTTAGTCCTGGTTTAGACCTGGTTTAGACCTGGTTTAGTCCTGATTTAGACCTGGTTTAGTCCTGGTTTAGACCTGGTTTAGACCTGGTTTAGTCCTGGTTTAGACCTGGTTTAGACCTGGTTTAGTCCTGGTTTAGACCTGGTTTAGACCTGGTTAAGTGATGGTTTAGACCTGGTTTAGACCTGGTTAAATGATGGTTTAGACTGGTTTAGACCTGGTTAAATGATGGTTTAGACCTGGTTTAGACCTGGTTAAGTGATGGTTTAGACCTGGTTTTGTCCTTATTTTGTCCTAGATTAGACCTGGTTTAGTCCTGGTTTAGACCTGGTTTAGACCTGGTTTAGTCCTGGTTTAGACCTGGTTTAGACCTGGTTAAGTGATGGTTTAGACCTGGTTTAGTCCTGGTTTAGACCTGGTTTAGACCTGGTTAAGTGATGGTTTAGACCTGGTTTAGACCTGGTTAAATGATGGTTTAGACCTGGTTTAGACCTGGTTTAGTCCTGGTTTAGACCTGGGGGGCTCGGCTGTCTTTACCTACTCTAAGAGGAGGCTCACATTCACCCAATCTGAAACTGTATATACAAATGGACATAGCTCACCCATTAGCTGCAGCGTTCCAAATAGGAAGTGAGCATGGGGGTGCTTCTGGCTCCATTGACTCCAATTGTTTCAAATTGACTTTACATTGAAAAACTGTCACCCCTTTAACTGCATCTGCTGTTGTGAGCCTCGCCATTTTGGTCTTAAAATGTTTTTTTTTTTTTTTTTTATTAACCTGTCCTAAATGATCCTGGTGTTTTCATTTCGCTATTTCGTCCGTAAAAACATCCTATGCTTAATATGGAACTCAGCTCCAAATTCACTCCTATAGCCACTAGCATCATGAGCTTCATTTGACTGGAGCTGAACGCCATGAGTGAAGTCACACTCCCTTAATCCACTTCTTTACACATGCTATGGTTGTAACATTGGAATTTCCCCATAAATAAGTTGGATTCTTGAACATTTTTGAGGGGCATGTGTGTGTATGTGTAAACAGCATGCAAAGCTAGTCAGGGCAAGGATTCAAGCTAATTTGATAAGGGCCAACTGGCAGATTTGTCGACCAAATAATGAAACAATGCAAGTTAACCAGCCAAGCAGAGACCATCTTTGCCATTCTAACACTTTTTTGTGGCCATGATGTACTGAACCTTCTGCATTTATTGTTGCCTTGAAGAAGTGTTGGCAAAAGGTTATATTTTTTTTTGTTTTGTTTCTGTAAATATAAATGAATATCAAAGTTGTACACTGCGTAAGAACTTTGTCTGTGAACGCTGATAAATGCAAGATTCATTTGATTTAATGTTGCTATATCACAATTCATCATAAAAATAAGATAGATCTCCACATCAGTGTATACGGGAGCAGTTTTCTTCTTCTTTTCCTTAGAAGGTGCTGTGTATAATCTGCAGGCTTTGCTTTAAAGGGTCAATATTATGCTATTTTCTGATGTATAATGTTGTTATAATGTTGTTTCCTCATCACAAACATACCTGGAGTTGTGTTTTGTTTCATTCACAAAAACCCTGCATATTTAGGCTGAGTTCTTCTCTCACATGGAAAACACTTCTGATGTCATGTGGTAAGACAGGAAGTGCTCCCCTGGGTTTTTAAACTGCATACACCTTCACTAGAATCATGTGGATAATTTCAGCTCTGAAATTGCCAATCTCTACTGAACTAAATGTAAAACTAAAGATTTATGACATCACAAGGAGGAACAGAGCATTTGGAGCTTTGGAAGTATAAACAGACTGATAATAAACTGTTACTCAAACACGTGTGAATGAAACAAAACACAACTCCAGGTATGTTTTAGAGGAGGTAATATCATTCTAACCATTAAGATTACCTTGGGGCATCACTGAAAAGAACTAGCAACAGTAATGGGAAATACACCTACACAGTATTTTAAACATCTTGGAACATCCTGTTCTTGCCCCATCCACAACACACGGATACAAGATGCAGTACGTGTCATAGATATGTGGTGTACAGTGTACAAGGACACTCATGTGGTTTCTCCTATTAAAGCCTGTGTGGTACAAGGCCTTGAGTGGGGAGGACTTATATATAATGTATAGTTCAAGGCTTTTTTTTTTTTTTTTTCTGACAGTGACTTAGCTCTGATCTTTACAAGTTTTTACTACCTATACTACAGTCCCTATCTACTCTCTTTGTACATAAGATTAATTAGAAATAGCATTAGAAATATCACCTACACCTCTGAAGAATAATTATGTGTGTGTGAAAACTAAGTGTGAACCTGAGAAAAATTACTTCAAAGTTTCAGTTTTGTCCAGACAAAAGTATAATAGGTAGGGCTGCCAAAATTTGACAACTAGTTGCTATAATGAAGAAATATTTGTATGTGAAAATATTGAGCTCAAAATTGACCTTTGACCCTTATTTGGAAGTTCCTGTACTCTGACTTTGTATCATGAGCCAAAAATAAGGAGTCGTGTAAAGACGAACGGCAGCAACTGACATGATCATTATTATTTCCTTGATTTTCCCCAGATTTCCACCCATTATAAAAACACCTCACCAAGGTCTAGTCTTCATGGTGTTTCTTTGAAATGATATTGAAGACCTTTGGATTTCCTATTTAGTGCTGATCAGGATTATGCGGCAACACTTACACAGTTAAACAGTTTGACAGACAAGTTACTTTGTAGTGTAGTATGAGTAAATACACAAAATACTTTCACATTAAAGATAATTGAAGTATAATTGAATACAAAGGCATATTTATTTAATGTGCTAAGACCCTGTGCCAAGGCCCCAACAAAAAGAAGGAGGCAAAAGGTTGGAATTTTAAATAAAATATATTTATTAACTAACTCACAAACAAAACATACATTGTTACTGCCTTTTGCCTTTGCATGACTCCTTATTTTTGACGCATACAAAGGCAGAGTACAGGAACTGACAAATAAGAATCAAAGGTCGATTTTGAGCTAAATATTTTTCAAGGTAATAATTCAGATGATATAGGAGATCTCAAATACCCCCAAAATGACATTAACAATTTTTTCAACAGGATGTTATGGCATTCTGGCTTTGTAGGGCAGAATTGTCCCCTGTGTGCAACATATGGATTTTACAGACACTGTGAAGCAGGATTGGTTGGTTTTAGACTATGTATGTCTTTTCAATTCAATGATCCCCATTATCAAAGCATGCAGAGCTGTTAATTGAAAATACAACGGAGTAATAAGCCACTATAGTCGCCTCTGTGATAAGTATTTTGAACTATGAATCGCACACTTATACACACAGGGCTGTCAATCTGCGCGTTTGTCCCTCTGACCATCACCAACACTCACACATGCACCACTTTCATATTAGACAAGGTGGGTGAAGTGTTTACCTATAATTAAGGAGATTTTTGTGCCTTTATGGTTGGCGTTTCATCTTTTGAGCTCTTAAGCAGAAGTCAACCCCGACACACACAAAGACATTTAGGGGGGCAAAGCTCAAAGTAAAAGCACATTATAGAAAAAGCAATGAAAATGAGGCCATGTCTTCTCACAGCAGTTTTCAATCACATTTTACCTTAACTCCCACACAATCTTCACTCTAAGGACACTTCAAACTGATGTTTCGTACTAAAAAAAAGTGCAATTTATGTGTTGACTCAGACTGACCCCGACCTCTGACCTCCCTGAAGGCGTAAACAAACACAATCTTTCCCATGCGAGTCTGCACAGGCTGTTATAAGGGACAGAAAAACAGTGTTTGAAAAGTGTTTCTCACCAGTGGATGTGTGAACTCCGGGCTGTGGTCATTCTTGTCTGTGATGGTGATGGTGGCCGTGGCTGTCCCCGTCAGACCCACCTCGCTGCCCGCCATGTCCTTGGCAACAATCTCCAGCTGGTACGTTGTCGTAGGCAGAGTCTGCAAAATAGATGACAAGAGAAACCACTTCAGGCTGGAATTCTAAATAGCTTATACCAATTAAAAAAGAAAATAAATAAATAAACAAAGTGAAGTAGTTTGTTTGGCAAGTTCTTAGTACATTCTTATGAAAAAATAAATAAATAAAAATAGGAGATAAGCGTATGTTTTCAAATTAAGATTTTAAATGGGGGGATGGTATTAGACTAAAGGAGACCAAAGTGCTTTTCTAATAATCATACTAATAAATAAAAATTAGGGCCGGGCAAACGTTAACACGTTAACTTTGCGTTAACTAATTAAGTCATTAATGCCGACAATTATTTTAACACCGTTAACGCAGTTTTTATTATTTATTTATTTATTTATTGTAAACGGTTTCTGTTTCTCACTGGCTTTTATTTTGAAAAAGTCCACCGCGAGCGTTTCTTTAAGTTTGACGTCTTTTCTTTACACTTTTTTCACTTTTTTCTGACCACGTGAGATGCAACGTGCCCGAGCCTCTGAGAGCCGTGGGCCCGGCCGCGGGTTCGGCCGCAGGCTCCGATTCCCGTCGCGGCTCCAGCCACGAGTTCGGCCGCGGGTTCAGCCACGGGCACCGGCTCTGAGCTGAGCTTATTTCTTTAGTTCACTGCTGGAGTAACTGATTTACCCAGATACCACTGGAAGAAAAAATGTGATTGGTCCATTTCCATTCCATTATATTAACCCTTTGTTTCCTAAGAAATATCAGTCCAACTTTATAACACTGATCTAGAAATTATTACTAGTGTAGTGTTCATTACTCACAGCATAAAAAATATTCAGTAAATATATTAGTAGTACAAACTTCCATTCAGTATTTTTTCTTGAGCCTTCCCTGAATACCTTGAAGGCTCTGAGGATTCCCCTGTGAAAGAAATGCTGTTTGCACAACGAATGTATGGCTCTTTCATTTACATTTCCAATAAAAGAGCGCTATACTCTACTTTTTAATTCATTAATTGGTTTTGCGTATAACATGCGATTAATCGCTCAAACTCATGCGATTACATTTTTTTATTTTTGCCCAGCCCTAATATAAAAAAAAAAAATAATAATATATATATATATATATATATATATATATATATATATATATATATATATATATATATATGCATATATAGTAACAAGTATAGTAAGTATAGAAGGACAAAGAAGTAATTATTAGTAGTTGTTGTAGAATAATGTAGTATTGTAATAATACAGTGTTTGTAAAGTATTTGTAGTAATGACTGTAGTGAACCCCTTAAGCAGTGTCAATAAATATTTAAATTCTACTTTTATTTTCGGATGCACTCTCTCAGAATTTCCTTCACCTTGGAATACCTCATTTGTGGTAACATTTTCTCACCAATTTAATAACATTTAATATCCAACTGATGAGAAAACTCTTTATTTGTGCAGAATGTCATACTAAATAGCAGAAGTGGTTCAATTAATCCACTCCAAAATAAGTGCAAATATTTAATGGTTAAAAGTGCTTAAAAATATCACTTGAGACGTGCAAATACCTGTAATCAACATCTTTTGACCTGGACATTTTCCTTTTTTACACTTTTTTTTTTTCCTCAGCGCATTAACAAGAGGTGTTAAAGAATGATTTGCACATTAAAGGTCCTATATTGTACAGAATTGATGTAAAGCTGTTATGTCATCAGTAACATACCTGGAGTTGTGTTTTGTTTCATTTACACACATCTGAGTAATCCTTTATTATCAGTCTATCTATATCTCCAGCTCAAAATGCTCTGTTCCATCTTTTGATGTCATGTATAGTAGTTTTCATGTTAACAGCTACTTTTTCCTTTGGTAGCGATGGACAATTCCAGGGTTAAAATTGTCCAAATGATTGTAGTATGGAGTTTAAAAAGACACTGTCGCACTTGTTGTATTACTATATGACATCACAACCGAATTTTCTGTTTGAGAACTCAGCCTAAATATGCAGGGTTTGTGTGTTAAACATATGTGAATGAAACTAAACACAACTCCAGGTATGTTTGTGATGAGGAAACATTATAACAGATCAGAAAATCACGTAATATGGGCCCTTTAATCAAATCATTCATGTATATCTATTAGTTTTAGTATAGCTTTTTCACAGCCAAAACAGAAATAACCAGACTAGAATGGTGTTAAATCAAAAGTAGCAGTGCAAAAAAAATATTTCTTGTGGTGTTCTCTCATCACAATTTCTGATTGGGATCTCAAAGAGTAATATAAAAATAATTATGCCTTCTAGCAGTTATATGTAGCTTCATCTAGTTAAGTGCCACACATGGATCTGACTGCAAAGTGCGTAAAGTATTGCTGCAAATTGGATATGTAATCAATTTCAGCAGCTAGCATCTGGAATCAGTATTACAATTAGAAAAAAATATATCTTACAAACATGCGGCGCAGAGATGGCATATTCGTAATGATGTGAGCAATAATAATTTTGTCTCCATAATTCATGCCTAATACAAGTGTTGACAGTGGTGAATACATAAGAGAGAAGGATGCTGCTGAAGTAACATTTATTTGTGTGGTGATGTGGTTCTCCCTGCGGGGAGCGCCGACTGTCACATGTTTAATAAAACCCATCCATCTGTCTGGGTGGGTAGTCCGCTGCACAGGGCTGAGGTGCAGGAGAATGGGTGATAAACCAAAGTAAAGAGTAGATTTGGTCTATTACAATATATAGATCATCTTGTCTGACCAGCCAGTCCCTTCAACATTCTGATCAAATCCAGAAAGGACGAAGACCATATAATAGAGGGTGAAAATCCTCTGTCCAAACTTGAGATGATCCAACCACAGCTGCTAATTGCATGTCTCTCAAATACGGAAGACATCTCCTCTCCAAAATTCTAGTACAGTTTAGAACAGAATATATAACTTCTTTCACGTGAATTAAGTGATCGTTTGATGCTTCTATTGTTGATTCTGTAAAAATATGCACTGTTTCTCACTCTTTTATGTGTGTGTGTGTGTGTGTGTGTGTGTCCCTCTTTTTTTACGTGACATGTTTGTTTTTGATGCAAACAGAGCATGCATTTCTCTGATTGGCTAATCCGCTTGTCAATCACCCCCTCTGAAATCAGGGAGACAGGAAATGGCTCCAGATCCACTCATCTTTGACAACGAGTGTGATTCTGGCTGGTCACAATTACAATGAGCTCTAAAGGCCACCACACGCTCCAGGATTTCAGGAAGTGCGACAAAAAGCTCACACCACAGACACGAGGAGAATCTTACGAGATTTTAAATCTCCGATCTCAAAGACTGAATTTTGAAGAATTTTCGCTATTTTCTGAATTTGTATCTTGCGCTTCTGTGTCCATCACTCTGTCTGCCCTGATGCTGTTTTATTGGCTGTTGTTGTAGTGTCGCTGATATTTGGTGGTTACGATCTGACAGAGCAGCTCAGAGTCTCACCGACATCACACACACAGCGGCTTCAAAATCGCACACAAAGACAAAAATTTGGGTCACACCTTCCCAAACCTGAGGAGAAGCAAACCACAGCCAAAATTAGGCAAATTCTCCTGAAGTGTGTGGCAGCCTTAACATTTTCACAGCATGAAGAGCTGTTAATTGAAAACGCAAAGGACTAATATGCTCCTATAGTCTCCTCTGTGATAAGCATTTTGTCCTATGAATACACACAGGGGTGTACTCACTGCACTACCATGGGGGAGCACAGCTGACTGACAGTTTTTGCTTTAAAAATGTATTCTGTATAACTATAGTTTTTTTTTTTATGGCTTTCTAAAACATTCAGTTGTCGACTGCCGGTTGCTACTGGACAAAGAAATATTATGCTTTATGCAAATGTTTGTATATATGTATAATGTGTCATAAGACAATGTTGTTGTTTTTTCAGTCACTCCCTCAAATCTGCCCTGAGCCATTTAAATTCTCCCTTGTGTGTGAACTGCTTGTGGCTACACAGAACACTGGGCCTCTCCTCGCTCTGAGTTTGATCCTCTCAGACAAAGCGACCTGATTATTGCGGCCAGCAGTGTTTGCTGGTGAGAACTGTGACCTGTATCTCAGCACGAGCACACACAAACTCCCAGAATGCCACATTGCCAGTCCCCACCTGCTTTCATCACTGATAGTGCTCTCATCAATGTAATCACAGGCAGGCAGTGGCAGATTAACTGATCAATACAGAGACACCTTCCAACTCATTATTGCATCAACAGTGGGCTGGTCTCCACTCATGACTCTATACCTGCACTGTGACACTGTGTCAGAGTCCACTGTTGGGAAGTTACTAAATACACACAACATCAATGAATATGAATTAAGTATTATTTATTATATGTATTTGCTTGGGATTAGTTTTACATAGGGTACCCAAGTAAATTGTAATAATTAAGAATGCCATCTAGGCCGTGTCTATAAAAATCATCCGTGTCTATTTATCCCAGATTTTACTGACTGTAATTCTTGCATCAATATGGTAAGAAACACTGCATTTGTTCTTACATGTGGGTCCTTTCATCCATAAATTAACTCTGCATGTTCAGACCTTTTGAACCTGTTTCCATATGTCCAAGATGTTCTTAATGATCGAGTGCCTTTCACCTACAAGGTACTCAAAGAGCTTTACATCAAGGAAACACACACCCACTCACACACACATTCATATAATACACCAGTGTACTCAGACACTGGGGGGCAGGGTGGGTTAAGTGTCTTGCCAAAAGATACAAGGACAGCATTCGTCTGTGGGGACTGGAATTGCACTACAAACCTGTGGGTCACGTTACCAACTGATCTGTCCCTTCATTTTCTCAGGTCCAAGCGCTCTACAGCTCACCAGAAATATATGTTGTCTTTTACATTTGACCACTAAATGATTTGAGTTCACGTGATATGAATGTGTTTCCTGTAATGTTTTCAAAAGAACATAAGGCATACAAGTCACAGCTGGCCAGAGGCGGTGCTACCATTAGGCAACAACAGGCAGCTACTTAGGGCCT